ATAGCTCATCGAAAGATGTATATATTGATATTGACCGAAAATACTAGAGTTGCTAAAGAGCCCAGTTGGGGAGTGAAGATTCACCAGCCTATCTAATTTACTCTCTTAAAGAGAAAATCTTATCCTACTAATAACCACTGGAGTGAATGTAACTTATAGCGAGTAATAACCACTTATTACTAATTATTAACTTTGCTTAACTAAAATTTATGGTAACTTTTGTCATAAGCTGCTATTTCTGTTGGGTTTTTGCTACCGTTTTTTTCGACTTGCATTATATCGATGGTAACTTTTGGTATTTATTTGGTATACTTACAGATAAGTACTTAACATCCCGCGGATTTTTTCTTCTACCAAAAGTAAGAGGGTTAACTAGGATTTAAGCTGGCGAACCTTTTTTGCCATGGAACACTTTATAAATCGCAAGGAACAAAAAAAAATGTTTTTCAATTGTTCATATAAAACAAAAATAAAAATTACGAAAAAACAAGTAATTATTATTTAAGTTTGTTTGAATGTAATGCATTTATAAAAAATTAATGAACCGTATTTTTGAAAAAAAAATAAGATCGATGTTTCTGGGCCTTCAAAGCACAAATTCTTTTAATGATATTCAGATATGATATTGGATATTTGAATCTTCATATCAGCCACACAACCAAGCCTATTCCTATATTTGGTTTTTGCCGCGGCAAAATGAAAACCTCTAGAAATAGCACGTGTTAGAAGGAGGATGGTAAAATTTTGCAGAATATAAATTAAGAATAAATTTTCGGAACACTTATTGAATCCCTCGAAAGAACAGAAGGTTGGGGAAACACTGAAGTGTGGTGACTTTATTCCATTTCCAATGATTCGTTTATTGATTAGGAAATATGAAAATTTTATAAATCGGCTGCATTGATAATCATAAAATTCTTCGAGAATAACGAAAAGTGTTTCTATACTTTACTTGAAGCTTTTCTACGTCTTCCTGCATTGTTGCATTGTTGCATTGCATCACTGGATTCATGCATTGTTTTCATAAATTATCGCAAAATTCGAAGGGAAAGAAGGGCAAAAAGAAAAATTTAAGAAGACGGTAAAAAAATCTAATTTGGTTTAAATATTTTTCGTATTTCTCTCACAAGTGCTTCTTGAAAAATCTAAAACGGTAATAAGGTATTTTTTAAAATTTTACCGGCAAAATTGGGAAAATGGAATTGATAAAGAGTGCAGAAAGAGCGAGGCATTTTTGCCAAGCATTTTTATAATGGACATTCGAAAATTTAACTTCATTACAATGGAAGCGAGGTGAAGGGTCAAGTGGTCGTCTTTCGATTAATTAATGTCAAGCATTTCGAGTTCGACCTCGAGCTTCACCACGAGCCTTTCATTAAAAATAAAATCATTGAGAGGTGTTGTTAACATTTGTGCTTCTATATCCAAGTGTTCCTCTCGCAAAGAGGGTTCATAATCAGTGGAGTGAGCCAAGATGGTGAGTACTAGAAGAAGAAAGAATGATTGTTGTCTATTCAGTTGCCTGGTATTCCCATCATGGTCATTAAATATAAAGGTTACAAAATAAATTTTAGTTCAATAAAAAATCTTAATTACCGCGCTCATTTCTGCAAATATCTCCGCCAAAAAAGAAAACTATGGCTTAAATTTGGAATCATTCTAAAAATGCTGAGGTTTGTTTACACCTCTTTCTTCAAACGAAAATAATCAGTGAGAAACGCGAAATCGTAAGTGCCAATTGGAGAAGAAGAAGGACAAGTTTAACGAAAAATTCACATCACCAAAGCACTGGAATATTCAAAAAAGCCACCAGACGGTCCCGATTAAACAATTCAGTAATCTGATTGAACTAACCGAATGATAATAACTAATCTGCCACAGCAATTTTTCATCACAGCAATATTTTCAACCCATTTTGTTCAACATGGAAACACAGAGTTTAACGTCTCTACATTGCATCTGATTTTTTAGCTGATTTTTAGGAAGAATTGACGAAGAAATGGTAGATTTTATAAATGATGAATTTGATTAATCGCATTGAATTTATAATAAATATTGTTTGGCAAATTTTGATATGGATATATCGAATATTTCGTGGTTGAATAACGAGTTGAGCAGACATATTTTCTCTCTTTAGAGCCGCAGGCTTTACATTCTTGGCGAAAATTAACTGTCATTCAAAAATACTAGCGATGCTGGCGAACCATTAATCCTTTCTTCAATAGCAAAATTTGTCTGGTTCGACAAGACAGCGGAACTTGTTTAACTAGGAAATAATTCGATCTATGGCATCTTTGAACGAAGCGTGTTAGATTTCAAACGAATGAAAATCGGAGACGAGATGAAGAGACAGAATTTTTTTGATTCAGAAGTATATATAAAAAATGCTCTTATGTATGCTTCCCTACGAATGGACGATTTTTGCTTGGTGATTCTTACTTCTCTTGAGGATCCAGCTGCATCCTTATATCCTTAAATGATTTCTTGGAAAAAAATTTGTACTCATAACAGCCAGTGACGAAGTACATGGTGAATATTTTTGTAAAAATACGATTCAAAAAAGATTTCCTTGATTTCGCTCTTTCACATTTATTTCTTGACAGAAAATAAACAATCTTATGTCATATGAGTGGATGTAAAAAAAGATCATAAAATTTCAAAGTCGAAACGAATTTAAGGATAACTTAAGAATAACTTGAAATATCGATTCGCGAAATCGATCCTTGCGAAACTTTTATCCCTATAAATTCTCTCTAGTGCCTTATAAACACATTAAAACATTAAAGGGAAAAAGTATAAAGTCAGAAAATGCGTATTCATCCATGATGATGTACGGATTCGGAGGCTACGCTGCCAAGCTCGTTGTCTCTTTTCTCTTTATGTAGAGCCGAAATCAAAATGGTGTTAAATAATGAGAGATTTGGAATTTCTTTTCTTCTTTACCAAGTGTCGGTGTTGCTGGAGCTTTAAAACAGCAACAACATTGAGGTTATAAGTTTTATAAATTCTATTTTATAAGTGGGAATTCAAATTGCTTGTATGAGAAAGAAGGCTCGTCCTTATAGTTAGAGGCAAAATCACTTCAATGAATTTTAAATTTTCGAGGTGGCATCAAAATTATTTCTGTTCAGTCTCCCTCACCAATGTTTAAATCGGCTAGATTGGTTTCCTTCCTTTTAACAGTCCTTTAACAGTCCCATCAATCCTTTTAACTGCATCCGCTATTTCTCTTTTGCCACGCTTCGCTAATCATTAGGTTGAGATCTTTTCATTAGATTCACTAAATGAATAATATTACTTATATTTCATTTCTGATTTATGCAGTTAAGAATTCATGACATCGCTTGATATTAATCGAAGCAACGTACCACTCGATCCATTTAATTAGACTGCATTTAAACATTTAGAAAAATCTATCTACGGAGTTTAATGTTAAAGATATAAAACGCGAACTGGTCGTATAAGATTTCAAATTTCGGAACATTCGCCTTTTCAGAAAATATAAAGATGGCTTGCTTAATTTACTTTCTTATTTTAAATGATTTGCGGAATGATACGAACAAAAAATAATTAATCAAATTAAATTAGCGAAATATTCATCAAATTGTGTCTGACGCCTCAAATATTGCCATATCGTCAAGAATTCCTGGAGAAATATCCATAAATTTACTTTTATCATGACCTCATTTCGGTAAAAGTTATAGAGAATGAAATTTCGCCTATTTTTTCTTTAGGAAAAACTGGTGATATGACATTCATTCCATTCCACATGATGGAACGATCAAGTTGAGATGGATTCCAGAATAATATTTCTACAAAAATAAATTTCTCTTCTATTTACTGACGAATTTCTCTTCTATTTAGTTTATTTTAAATTAATCAGCTAATAAATTCTGCTATCAAAAAATTTCACAATAATTTCGAAAATTTCACAATAATTTGGTTAAAACACGCCAGGTTTTAAATACTATCGATCAACTTCTATACTTGGAAATAAGGAATGGTTCAACGAATTGTAATTCTCAGTGCCAAAGCTGGATTTCCGCTCCTAGCGACAGCAAACTTCCAAAAATCCATGACAGCCTATATTTCTATCACCAAACAACTCCTTACCTGAAAAAAAGAGGGGCGAGCCTATCCAAAAATGATAGGATCACACAACATCTTTTGCGCTGATTAGCCCTTGCTCGGTGTGATCTATATCAAAAATTAACCCAACTTTGTGATGGATAAATGCCAAAATAAAGCCTAGATCGGCGCGGTTGGAGGAGATTTTTGCACACGCGTATCAACGATTGAATGGTTCAAACGATGCAACAAGGAACAATTTCATTTAAGTTTAGGTGTAGTATGGGGTGGGAAATTTCGAAAGCTCTTACCGTGATGGGAAATAGCCAACCAGCCAAATCAGAGATAGTACTAAATATAAAAGAAAAAGCTAAATTGGCAATTTTACTCAACCAAAACTATGATTTAGATAATTCGGAAAGAAAATCCAATCATGAGAGCGAAGCCAATCGCTTTTTCATCCATAAATGAATCAATGATCTAATAGGTGCATATTTGCTTAAATAAACGTTGGTAAAAGCTTTTAAAACATCAATAATTTTTCTCACAGCCGATAAATGTAGCTCATCATTACAATTCCTTTCTGATAGCACTCCGCTTGGATAATTGAAAGTTCTAAGCGAATAGAGTGACCGGGCGATGAATTTGCTTCGAGTCAAGTCATCAAATCTTACGAGTAAGTGATCAGACAAGGTTAATTTATCAAAGCCAAGGTTTTTCAGAGAGCTATCAGAACTATGGACTACTTTTCAATTATACAGAAAAATAATTCTCTAAGTTTATAACCAAATGTTAACATTCAAATTTAAAAAATAGCACAATTAAACTTATTGCAAAATTGAAATTTAAAGTTAAATTTAAAATTAAGCGAAATGGAAACTGCAAATAGATTTGCGAACTGAACAGCTGCCTACCAAATGATCAAATAATTTTCAGACTTTTATATTTCGAGTACAGTAATTCTGCAAAAAACGATTATTTATTATATGTATTAATAAAGTGAATTGTGGATGCTCACCATTGCTACCGTTTCACTGAATATACGGTGAGAAAAGCAATTAAATGCACAGGTAAAATCGGAAAAGAGAAGGAATGATCAACTAAAACAGCCAACTTAACACTTAACACTTACTGATAACTGAAGTTAGCAAAAGAAAATTTTAGTTGTCCCAATCTAATTTTAATAATGATAAAAATCAAAATTGATAATACAATTGAACTAATTGAACTAATAAATTCAAATATATTTATTATCTGTGTTACCTTCAATATATTAAAAATTAATTCATTTCAAGCAAACAAAAATTTGAAATATCACTTTAACATTGCTTTTGCCATATATACACATACTGCGACTGGTATTGATAAGTTTGCTTTTTCATCAGTGCATAAGAGACAAATAACAATAAAAAAAATATGGTTGAACTGACAGGTCTGTTGCGAATGACATAACCATTCTCCGCTGAGAATTGAAGAAAGAAGCAAACAGACAAACTTTAGCTTTTTAGAAAAAAATTTTTTCGGTTTCAGCACATATTTTTGTTATCTATCTTCCTATCTAAACCTATTTTATACTTTTTCTTCCAAGCTTTGGCCAGGATTGAACTTAAACAGCTGCTTCCTGCGAATTCACCAAACTCTTGTAATGATAACAAGCTTATAATTATGTGAAAAAATATTTTTCTTTTAAAAATTAATAATTTAGACCTTATTTATCTGGTTTTTTGATCCTCCAATATCTATCTAATATACTTTTCAACCTTATTTGCCCAAAAATAAAAAATTTCAGGAACAGAAATATCTATATTAATACTGATATTATTCTTCTAATAGAACTCACTATTACTGGTTTTGCGAAAATTTTTTTCATAATTAACGTGAGAGTTACAGGGAGATTGCGATACAGGTGGTTCCCCAGTAGTTGCCAAGATTTTCCAGTTGTCCATCTTTCACGGGAAATGAACTGTGTCTTTGCTACTTGCTCTTAGAGGAACATACATTTGAGCCATTTGGCTCTAATGCTTCTTAATAAATTATTTACCCATGTTTTAAAATATGGAGAAGGGCAATCAAAGGGTAAAGACAAAAAGACTAATCGAGCATAATTTTTTTAAACCATATAACGGGAATAATTTAGCACAGCAAAGAAGCATTGCCAATATTTTAATATTGCCCAATTCATTCATAACATACTTTCTCAGTTCAACAGGCAAAAAATTGCGAAGTTAGTTTTACCATTTCGACTGGCTAGAGTGAAGCATTTAAAATCGCACAATCACCACAGAATCACTTGGAGAAATACGGGTTGGTCAGCAGAACCAAGAATACTCTTTCATAAAATACTCTATGTTGCTGGTACCAACTTCATCAGACATTAGTATCGCCTAAGAAAAAGCAAAGGAGAGTAAAATGGTTGAGTGGGTTTTTGCTCAATTTGAAGTGCTGAGGTTCTACTCACGGCAGGAATAAAAAATCCGGGCGATGCTGGCAACTCATCTGTATTTCTATCTCCAAAAGACTCCCTCACCTATCTGTCTAGTGCGACATACCACAGGAACAAGCCTATCTAGTAATGGTGAGTGCTCATAAAAAAAAAGGTTAATAATATTTAATACACTCATAATATGTACAAAAATAATTGTTCAAAAAGGATACATTTTTGTTTTTATCTAATTCTATCAAAAGATTGAGCATTCCACTAGTAATTTATAACATGACAAGGGAACGATATTAAACTAAGTTGATTTCCACCTCAATAAATCCAGAAACTTATGCGCGACAAAATACGCGAGAATCGGATTATTTCATAGTAACATTTTCCATTGCTTCAAGTTTTAATGGAGCAATTTTATTTTTATTTTGTCGCGCGATCGGGCTATTTGTTCTCCTGGAGCCTTCTACTTCCATCATATTTAAGGAATTTTTTTTTTTTGCATATTTTTGCTGAATTTCCAAAAATGAAGTTGAATTAAAATCGATTCCTTTATCATCTTTTGTGTGAATAGATGATACGATATTTTCACCATCTTTAGCAAGAGCAAATTCTGCCGATTCGACTGAAGTTTGAAGAGCATGCAGATTCCTCGATAATATCTGCGGAAGCAATTCTTCATTAGCCAGGATTGGTTCTGGAGTTGGCTGTGAAGCAAGCCTATCCTAAATTCAATGGATTTTTTTTGAAACTTCGGTCCAAAAATGTAAGAAAAATTATGCATATATTTTTATCTTTCTTCCAGTCTTCATTTTTAATTAGAAATAGATGAAGAAAAAAAAAGAAAAATAAAAATAAGTAAAATCCTTAAGTAACCATTGAGAAATTTTCAAGCTCGCCTTGTCGCTATAATGCACAGGAGCAAGAACTAAACCCTTTTTCTAGGAAAGACATAGATAGGTTCTTAATAAGCATATAGGATGGTTTAAACTGCTTGGTTATATCATAAATATCAAGACATCAAGAAACATTAAGCTAAAACTTATTCAGGTTTAAATTTAAAATGGCACCAACCTTATGTAACTGTTTATCACTTATATTGGCGTTTTTTGATATCTGACTTATATCAGATGAACTCATGCTTTTAAAATATTTCGAATTACAAGTACTGGGAAAAGCTGAGGTCGAAACACAAGAAATCTTGTGGAGTAATGAAGGTTTTTGAAGTGATGTTGATTTTATATTCTTCATAATTGATCCATTCACTAATGAATATGGAATAGAACCATTTCGAACTTCTAAAATAGTGAGAAACAATTTAGGAGCTAATATATCAATGATTTTCTGGAACAAAACCCAGATTAAAAAATTAAAATCAAACGAAAAATGTCTTCTTTTTATAACAACCACTCATCATTTCTTGTTTGGCTGACTCCAATTGTTAGCGAAAAAAAACCTTTTGCAAGTAAAAGGTTGTAAAATAAAACTAGTTGGTCAGCACCACGCTCTTTTAATTTTGACAAAAGGAAAAATTGAACCTATGAAGCTCAGAATAGCTGAAGTAATTTATTTGAAACGTTGGTTTTAAATAAGAACAAAGTTTGGATGCATTTAACCTGCATCTAAAGCAAATGCACTCCTTTTGCGTAATTCATTCAGGTTGGTTTCTGATTTCTCCATCATTTGTTGCAGTCTTTGTTGCCTTAGCATTCGACTTCTACGAGTTAATAATTTCCATTTGGTTATCGCTTTTGTGACAGTCGCAAAAGTCCTTCAATGCGTACATTTAAAAATAATAATATTTAGAATGTACATCCGTAATAAAAAAATATGCTGGACATCACTGTTAAAAACTTGGAGATTAATTTTGAGAAGAATTACTCAAATTCACCATAATTAATAAAATACAATTGTTTCTTAAGAACTATGAAAACTGACTTATTACTGATTGGCTTTTCGATATGATAGCGAGCGACATTTTGGCCTGCTAGTCCATGCTCGACTGCATCAGCACCAATTTGCTCTTCATAATCCGTGACCCGTAATCCTAGAGGGCTTTTACCCAATCCCTTAAATTTTATTTCTAAATAATTTTCCAATATGGATCATTTTACTTTTTATTTTTGCCAAATTTTTCTTTGAATCATCAAAATGGATCTTCAGCCATGAAGAATATCATTTTTCTTCATTTTTAGTATTTAAAATCGTTAAAAAATATCGACGGCTAAAATTGAATAATAGAATTAATGTTTCATAGAAAAAATCAAAAAATTCAAAAGGTTTTTTAGATTCTAAAAGTGCCAAAATTGTTGAAAATTTTTAGCATTGCTTATATAAAAGGAATTTTCAATAAATGAATATTCCATATGAACCATTAAAACAGCTAAGCCGATTACTGCGCTATAAACAATAATTGTTAATGAACAAAGCATTTGTTTGCCCAATAAATTAAGATTGCCCGAATAAAACAACCCGTATTGACCATACGTAACTGACTAAAACATTTGCAATTAATTATTTTGATTATTTTCTGTAAAAGAATATTGCAAAGGAATTTTATTTGGCCATAAATTTAGAAAATTTTAATCTTTCAAAATTTAATCGAAAAATTTTAGTTGTTTTTAAAAAACTTAATGAAAAATTTAAAATGCAAATGCGCTGAACGATCATAAAATGGTAATGATAATGGTAAATGGTGATCAGTTTTCCATTGCCCATATGAAAAAAAAATTATAAGATCTTTAGACGTGGCGTGGCGATTACTGAAATACTTACCAGAAAGCGATCGTCTTCAGCAAATAAGCCAACTGCAAACATACCCCATAGTGACGACGTTAAATGAATCGGTACTATTCCAACTGGATCATCGATTTTTAGCTTTTCCAAAATTGGCAAAATAGATATTGAAATCGCTGAACTCACCGAACCTATTACTAATGCGTGCCAAGGTCTTGCTACAGCACATATTGCTAAAATTTTAGAATTTCAGCAACAGGTGCAGATCTTTATTAATAAGTAATGTAGTTACAGGTGAATATAAATAGAAGCAAATTAATGGCTCATTTTTTTGGCCCTGGCTATTAAGACAAGAAAATTTTGACGATTGATTGTCTTATCATCTGATTTTTTTAGTGATAAAATTTTTCATTTACTAAAGAAGGAAAGTTTCAGGAAATAATGAGAGAATTGGAAAAATTAAATTAAATTCCACTACATATTTGCTCCATAAAATGGAAAAAAATTATTACCTGTGATAGCAACAATCGATGAGAGTAACCCATATATCAAAAAATTAATTTGAAGCTTTTTAGTTTTAATAAAGCTAACAACAATAGACGTGGCACCTCCACCTATTGAACTCATTATTGTTGCTACTGCTGCTCTAAAATTTTCGAAATATCAAAATATTTCACAAGAAAATCTTAAATTATTATTATCAAACTATTTATTTATATTGTAAATTATTTATATCTTTTCCCTCTAATATTATTTCTAACTTGGTTGATTCCACTGACTATTAAGGTGAAACCGTTAAGTCAGAACCTTTAATCATTGCACAGAAGAATAGATGAATTCCACTCATCCCACTACCCATTCCACTTTTTAATGATAAAATTTATTCATTTTATCACTTTATCATATTATTCATTTTTTAAATTTATTCATTTTATTCATTTTATTTCAAAAGAGTTTTAATTTAATTCAAATAGAGAATGATTAAATGATTGATGTTTTTTTGCATTCATTATTGGTTTCCATTAATATAAAATCGATTGATGCTAAATGAAACGAACGTTCATGGAATGGAAATACCTAGCGCCTAATCTCCATCTTCCATTAGTGATACCCCATGCAGAGCCAGAATTTATTCCAAACCAACCCCACCATAGCATAAATGTGCCCAATAACGCATTTGTTGGTGAACTCATTTGATGGACAGAATCTTTTGAAAAGCGATTTCTTCTTGGCTTCAAATATATAGTTGCCATTAAACCTATCATGCCACCAACCATGTGTACCTGAAATATTTCACTTCTGAATGTCAATGAAGGTGCAGATTTTTCTATATTGATTCTAAGATTTTTTCAAAAACCAATGAAAATGGAATGGAATAAAATGGAAAAACTTTTTCTGGAAAACAAAAGCAACAAATTACTCGCAAATGCTAGCAAATATTTTACAAGTAATAATAAAAACATGAACCGCTGAGCACCCAGCAAAGTCAACAACTCCTAATGCAAAAAAGAATCCATTTCGATCCCAGATCCAATGAGCTGGCAAAGCTTGGATTAAAATCACAAAACAACCTAGTAAAATATAAGATTTTAGTTTTGCTCGCTCCGCCACAGCACCTTAAAAAATATTTAATAATATTCAATATTCCGCTAGAAAGGTTTTGTCTAAATTTTCTCTTTAGAATCAAGTTTTCAATTCATTTTTATTTGTAAATATCTTAATCAAAACAATCAATCAATCAAAACAATAAATTTCATGCAAAAATAATCATATCTTGCCAATATCATTTGTCACCATTGGATAAGGCAAAAATTTTCATGAAAAGAAGAGTTCACTGAATATCCGTAAATACAACAAATCTTAGATATAAGTTTATAGATTTGAAGCAGCCATTTTACCTGACACAATAGTTGAAGCAGTAGTAGCGAAACTCAGCTGGAAAAGAAATGATGCATATGCCCACCCTTCTTTAAGTGCCTTATTATCATCCCTTAAAATATCCGAAATTTCAAACCAATTTGCTAAAGTTGTATAATTTTACGATTATAATTGTGGCAAAAAAATTGATTAGTTTCATTTTTTTTATTGCAGTATATATATATATATATATAATCATTATTGGTTAAACTCGCTCCACTGGCTTGTCGCATTAGGAAATATGGCAAGGAATTCCTTGGCGATAGAAATATAGGTCGCCAGCATCAGTCGGATTTTTGTATAGGTTTACTCCTGCGGGGAATCGAACCTAAGCATCGGCGCTCCCAGTTGAAAAATAACCCACTACATATATATATATATAACATAGACATATATATAAAATAACGAAGAACAAGTTAAGTTACCTTGTAGGATCATAGAAGAATTTACCCCACCCAATAAAAGAATTTTCAAATCCTGAAGCATCGCCAAAGCTTAACCCATAGCCGATTGCCCAGTATGATAGTCCACCAAAAACTACATCAACCACATTTTTTACCATTATGTTAACTTCATCCTTAGTCGAAACACTACCACTTTCTAGCAGCCCAAAACCTTAAAAAAATTGTTCGTTCGATGAATATTAAAAAGCGAATATCATCCAAATTAAAAGGCTTAATTTTCTTCCAATCAGTCTTAATGAAAGGCAAATGATGGTATGTTTAAATAATTATAACCTGGTTTATTTTACCTGAATGCATAGTAAAAATAATAAAACTGCTTGTGATAATCCAGACTGCATCATCCTGAACAAGTTTATCCTTTTCATGTTGTGAAGATATTGAGATGAAATCCGTGTAATGGTCAGTCTCTGAAGTGCACAAAATTAATATTAGTATAATATTATTTAATAACCTTCTTAGATGCAATTTCTCAACGAAATTAAATTATATCTCTTTTATAATATTATAATAAGACCAGACCAAAAAGGGTCTAGAAACCATAAAAAATAGGTTTTGATAAAATGATTTAAGAGCTCGGGCTTGAATATTGTAAGGCAAAAACATGTAAAAATATATAAATGTTGAAATTACTTACGCAATAAACCAAGTTTTATTCTTGATGAATTCATGACTAAATATGGTATAGTGGATTTTCATTCCATGATTTCTGCAGATTATTTGACTAGATAGAATCTAATAGATTTCTTTGCTTTCTTATTGAATATCATTAAATTTTTGCATAGATCATAAGTACCATTCCCGATGATTTCTAGAAAATACCACAATAAAACTTTAAATTTTTTTAACACTTGAGAATAGTCGAAATAGTTGAACTATAAAATTTCAAAACAAATTTTTATGTCAACTTTCAGTTTTACTTTGGTTGGCTTGACTTCTTTACTAAGGTAGAACACAATACTTTGTTAGAGGACAATGGAAACACAAGTGTTTACCGAATCCACTCAAAATTTCACTAATGGTATTTATTTCCTGAAGAAAAGATAAGAAGCATGCTTGAAATGATAGTCTAACCAACAAACCTTTCGTACAACGGTTATGCACTCATAAATTTGTCTCATAAATTTCACTCTGAAATTCATGAAACTTATTTCCAGTAAGGACTTCAGTTTATAAATATGCAGTAATCAAAACTAATCAAAACTATTGATTACATAAGTATTAAGAAATGTGAAAAAAAATTTAAAGTAAATATTCAGAAGAAAGCAGTAAGCATTGATTGATAAAATTTGCATGAATATATTTAGCGAAGATTAAAAAATTTATTAAATCGGCTTTGAAAAATAAAATTGCGATTTGTTAAATTGAGATTTCTTCCCAAGAAACCCAAAAATCGTCGAAAATGAAAAATCATTTGGGAAAAAGTCCCAATAATTAAATTTTCACATCAATTTTGCTGAAATTCTGTTAGAAATATATGAAAATAGAAAAAAGAGAAAAAAATTTGAAAAGTTTTCGAACTTCCTCCGCAAATCATTTCGATTTCACTTCATAATAAATTTCTAAACACTTGAAGGAATAAACCAGAAATCACGAACTAACTGCCTAATACTTAAATTAAGATGACAATTCCCTGACAATTTGGCTAGTCTAATAAGCGGTTGCAAATTTTCGTTGTCCAATCTAGGAATTGTCGCGTACTTTTTTACATGGCAAGCAATATTTCCATATATATCACTGAGAGGTTTGGAAACGCTGTAGCCTAGCTATTAATGGCGCTGGAAAAGTTAGAAAAATTTTAACTATGGAAAAAAAAAGCATATCCGACATTGCTAAATAAAAAAGCAATGAAAACTCCGCCGAGAGCATTGATCTTAAATTAATTGATGAATCGTTTTATTTAATATTACCCTTAGACAATTACTATATTTTGCAATAGTATTATTAAATTTACACAAATTATTGCAATGATTCTATGCCAGTCGAACTGTGAAGGTTCACTTTGCAACTTTCAATCGAGTAATTTGTTCCTTATCATAAAAATTTCTTTCTCATTCTTTATCTCCTTTCATAGGAATCCAGCGCAGCAACGAAGGAATTACCAAATTCACAACCATCATTAGTCGCAAGCATACAAATCACTGTTCCGTCAATTTCATCAAATCCACAGTAAATCAGTCAAGGATCTTCCCAAATAGAAAATATTGTTTCTACAATATTTTCAATACATCATTCGCACATATTGAATCGCTTAAAGGAACCACTCTGTCCGCCTTCTATGTGAATCATTCACATAATCTTTTTTTATTACATTTATTGCTTCTCAAATTATTCTTATTATATATCTATATATAATGATTTCTCCACCAAGTTGCTTTCACCATATTACCTTAGCAACGCCAGTGAAAAATTCGCGTAGCTTAGATAAATGAAGATTTAAGCTAATTATAATTACTTCAAAATCTTCATTTATGAACTTATAATGCTAGCCTTTATTCTCATAATTTTAAGAATTCGAGTATGAAGTGTGACAGAAAATAACCATCTTTACTTACGCTCAAAATTTATAAAGCGAAAAAGATTTCAGTGATAATGAAGATTGTAGTGGTGATAATTAATGACATTTGCCATATAGCAAGATCTTTGATGGGATCGCATGTAAAAGTAAATTTGGATAATTTCTGATAATATTAAGTTTTCCAAGAAACAATTAAACAGTTCTATGGTTTTCTAGAATGTTTTTCAATATTTTTTAATGATACTTAATAAAAATAAAGCAATAAAATATAAATATGAATGAAAACTAAAATCTCTTGAACTTTCTTTTATTCGCTGGTGGTATTTATATGAAAGTGATTTTTTAATTTAACCTTTCCATTAATTTTAAGTTAAATTAAGGGGTTTAGTTAAACAAGCTCATTTAAACAAAGCCTTCAAACATAATACAATTCCTATTTTATTTAAAAAAATAATAAAAGAAAAAAATTCTTTTATTATAAATAAATTAAATTTCATGCTAAACATTAAATTAAATAAGAGGTAAAGAAATATTTTAAAAATTTAAATTAAATACAAATGAATAAATTTGAAATCTACGATTTTATCAAAAACGGCTTTCAAAAATATTTTTCGCACCCTTCATTAACTTGTTTTTTAGGACATTAAGATGGTTCGAGTGGTTTGGTTATTTCGACATATTTAAGCTTCAGAGCTTCCATTCTCCTGAACCCGTCATCAAAATACCAGGAATCTACTTGTATTTTCAAGTTTACTGGAAAAATTTTAACCACATTAATAGACGATGAAGCTGGCTAAACCCGAAATGGCGAACTGTAGAAACTCAGTTTATTTGTTTTAAGAAATAATGGTCATATTTTGATATTTTTCGTGGAAATAAACTGAAAAAAGGTAGAAAATTGAAAAAATTGAAAGAAATAATTTTCAAACAAAAATGAAAAGAAAAAATAGAGAAAGTCGCTGAAAAAGATTTGTCCAAATCGAGATCAACTGTTTATTTCATTATTTCAGGAAGAGAACTGATTTTATTAAATTGTTGAAATTTATAGAATTAGAAAAACATTGATTTGAGGAAACATTTATAAAAAAAATTATATTTCAGTTTTGTTTCCTCGGTTTTTCTGAGTCTCTCTCACTGATTGGAATATTGGTGGATCAGCGAATTCGTATATACTTTGGTTCTCATAGGATCAAAATCATAAAAAGGAATTGTCCTAATAAATTCTTTTTCTCAATGCGAATGAAATGTTTTAGTGGAATTCGAAATGGCAGCAGAGATGCCAAGGAATAATATATTTTCCAGAATTTTAATTTATACTGTTCAGATAATGAAGTTTTGAGCAATTTATTCACTTTATTCTGCATTGAATCATTTATTCTTCTTTCAACAACTTCCACCATTACTGGTTAGGTTGGCTACAACGGCTACAAGGGTAAGACGCTTCCAAGCGGCGCGCTCTGATGCCATTGTCGATAGTAATGGAAGCCATTCCTTTTTCCATCGTCTAAGTCCATTATTGCTGGTCCACTTATACGTTCAAAATCTTTCCTGACCATACCACTCCAGGTCTTAATTGACCTACCTCGCTTTTGACGCTAACCGTCACACTGTTGTTAAACTAATGGACAAAAAAATTAGTGAATAAAAACATAAACATATTTTTGATCGATTAACGCCTTTTACACAAATTTTATAGGTTTTATGCTTATTGAAGAATTAATGAATTCTGGCGGAATTAGTGCAACAAATCGTTACCAAAATAAAATTGTACAATTTATGGTTAATAATTGAGTGAAAAGATATGACAGATTATGTTAGAATGGATAAGTGTCTAGCATGCATTATTTCTGGTTAGACTAGTTGCAGTGGATATGAAACAATTTTCCGGGCACTTACTTGAAAATGTCGCCCTCGATCGCCAGCGCACCACTTTTAATTATGATATTTCAATGATAAGTTAGTTCTCTTCTACCAGAACACTTCACACTGTTTACAATGATAACGAATTAAGATAGCACAAAACAAAATGAAAATAAATAATGCAGCGGAAGCATGTAATGTATTTGCTAAATCCACTTCTGGTTATTAAATATAACGATGTTTATTAATTGTTTTTTTCCGTATATAAGAATTGATTTATCGATAAAAGTTGGGCAAAAAATTATGAGCTTAAATCAAAATTAAATAAACCCTTAACGATATTCTTTTTTCTTCTAAAAGCATTGTTTTGGTTGGCTCTACAGATAAGACTTTTTTGCCAGTGAACCACTTAGGAATAGCAATAAAAGGCAGGAAGTATCATTTGGATTTCAGGTTTAATGGCAACTTTTCCCTTATCGAAGGACAAGAATCGGACTCACAATTTTTCATGGTAGTAGCCGATTTTTTTTCAATTTTTCAATTTTTCACGAAGCCGCTTTCTCCACTTTCCATGACCGATCAAAAATGTAAATTAATATGAAATTATACTATCAATTGCCAATTTTTGAAGCTAATTAATTTCAAGCAGGTTTTCAATAAATTATCATCATTTCAACTAAATAATTATTTACTAAAAAGTTTTTATTGTAAATAAAATGAAGGTTTGAAAATAACAATTATTAATATCGAATATTTAAGCATGAATTAATCTGAAAAGCGTGCCTAATTACTTTAAATGAAATAAGCCAAGATGCAGAACCATTTGTTTACCATTTTCTTTGAATCAAAGAAATTATCAATTTCCCATTTCACTTAAAGAAAACGACTACCGCAACCTGAACTCGAGATTGAAGTTCCGATAAGATAGCGAAAGTATAAACGACTAAAATTTTGGACGATTTATAATTGGAAGAAAGTGATTAGCTGGAGCCATATCTTGATTTTTTTAAGAAAAAAATGAATTAAAACGAAGTGAATTTGGTGGGAAGGAAAAAAAGTGGAATGACGAGAATTCCCTATTTCTCATGACCTCTCCAATAGCCAGAATTTTCCTTAATTTTACCAAGAAAAATTTCCCTTAACTTCTGCTTATTTCTTTAAAACGTTTGTAATAAAAATAGCATCAAAGAAGGAATTATTTGTATTAAATTTACCATAAGTCACGAACTAAAACTTCTAATGCAATTAAAAATATTTGTTGCAATGCTATACATTCTAATACCACAAGCGAAC